AAACATACAGCAGGCGGAAGTAAAATCAGTTTCGGGCGATATGCACGTGCCGGTGATCGAAATAAATTTGTATAACATTACAATGTACCAAAAGCAGCGTCTATTTTCATTCAACTGCACATGTTTGCAAAAGTTAATCATGTGGTCAATCTAAAAGAAAACAAAACATACTACAAGTATCCTTATTGACCAAAACGGTTTCCATTCGCTTATTTTTGTTCTTGATGAAGGTAGCAGGCCAAGTTCCATGTTGGTTTCACGAATGACGAATTTACAAAAATGTACCACACGTTTATGTCTTTCGACGGGTTAGTTTTTTTGGGCCGCGGAAGAGGCTTTCACACAACATAATGTAGAGTATGGGCTTATAGAAAATTTTAGTTTCGACTTCAAATTCAATGTACCAGTGGTCTTTTGATGGTATTGAAATTAGCTAACATTAGCCCTTTCGCTCACGAGCTTCGATGAAGGTACTTGTATTGGCCTAAAATATTATCAAACTTGGAGCTCTTGCTAATCAAATTAAAGCTTTAGAAACAGCAAGACATGCACTATGAGCTACCCAAAGTATATTGATAGATATCATTACGTGGATCTGTACGAGCGAAAAGAAAATGCACAATTTTCGGCCATTTTTAGACTGCAAAACAGTCGTATTTTTTGCGAATGCGGGCGACGGTCAATATTCGAACGAAGGTAAAAACGGCGAGGGAGAATAGGGAGAGCCGTTAAAAAATACTTTTACTCGCCTCACACGTGTGAGGCTCGCGCGCTTCACACGCGAGGATCGCGCTTACGGTGACTGTTTTGCAGTCTAGGCCATTTTCGGCGGCGTCAGGCAGCTAAAATGGCGATTTTCGAACTTTCCTCGATTTCGAAAAAACTAACGCGCTTCAGGACCTTTGAACGGTATTTTCGTAAACAACTCACTATAGAGGTTATTTGGGCAAAATATGAAGAAATCCGAAATTTTGCGATTTTCATCTAGATCATTCTCGGTATTTACAGGAATTGGCTCTTAATTTGTCTTTGGAAATTATCTGGCTGTCATAATAACCTTTAAATAACATAAACATGCACCAGGTGGTGATCACATTGTCCAAGTTGTATTAAAAATGATATGATGATTACTGAACTCCGTTTCTTCCAATGTCATCAGGCAGCTGATATCGAGATCTTGGTTTGGCTACAAAAATTAACGCTCAATTCTCCGCCCGTTAATCGTTTGTGAGGTAAGGATTATCACTAACGAAAAATGATTTTTCGTTCTTATTTATATACTATAATAATTATATATTGTTATATCGTACATGTATTAATGTTTTTTATAGTGTTATAAATTTAGCAAACGTTTCTCGGTATTGTCTGCATGTTGTATTAAGTGGCTTTTTCTTAATGGTGTGAAAACATTGAACCAAAAGAATGACTTAAACGGGACCTAAATAATAATTCTCGATAAAATAAAAATCGTATATTATTCACTTATATTTCACTTGACTTGCAAAGTGACTTCCGCTTAGGTTGTCGAAACGTCCGGTCACCAACAACAGTTCTTTTCAGAACTACCCTCACCCGGACGATCACACGATACGGACTACCAAAAATCGTATCACATGCAACAATGAGGAAACATCCAGAAAAAACACGGTCGCTTAAAGCTGTACTTCCACAAATCGATAGAAACACAGAGGTACCGGCCAGGGCTGTTGACATAAACATGAAGCGAGCAAAGCGAGGTTGAATTTTGAGAATCGAAATAAATGGGTGACGTTCTTTTCTTTTTGCCCCAGTGTTTCCTGAAAGAAATAGAAAACATTTTCTTCGCTTTTCTATCGCGTTACAGACTCCTGTAGACTTTTCTGTAACCAGAAGTGTAGGTTTCGGAGGACAAGAAAAGGTACTGGAACACCAGCTGCAGGCAATATTTAACTCATTAAAGCCCTGAAGCACTC